TTTTGTGATATGCCGAGTGTTGATAGATTTTGAAAAGCCATAGCGAAGCTGTGTTTGCCTTGTATTTCGGTTAAATTATTACCGTCCACATAGAATTGAACAAGGTTTATCATATATGGTACAAAAATGTCTAAATTTAAAGTAGTCAAATTGTTGAAAGATAGATCCAGTACTTCTAGATGTACTTGCTTGGAAAACATGCCGAAAGCAATATACTTCAATCCAATATTTCTTAAAATTAGTTTACGTAAACGTTTCAAATTGTCAAAGGTAGTTATGTTTAACTGTCCAATTTTGTTGTGGGATAGACTAAGTTCTAGTAACCCGGAAGCTTTAGTTATATTTTTAATATCACTTATGTTGTTGTGAGCCAGAAATAAACTCTCCAAAAATAATGAGTTAATCATATGTATTGTAGAGATGTGATTGTTCTCTGCATGCACATATTTAGTACCATTGATAAAAATCGAAGTCAGATTGTTTTCATTAATTTCCAGATGACGCATTATGCTTTTATTGGATAAAGAAAATTCAGTAAAACGATTTGTTGAAATAAACAGATCATCTAAACTATATGACCGGTAAAATGTATTAGGATCGATAGTTCGCAGTTTATTGCCTATCAAATTCACTTCATGTAAAAGAAACAAATCGTAAAATACTTCTGGTGCAATATGTTCCAGTAAATTGTTTTCCAAACGGACGACGTTTAAGAAGAGATTATCTTTAAAAAGAGAACTCGGAATTTCTTTAAGCTGGTTGGCACATAACATAATTGAGTTGAGGTGCTTTAAGCCATTGAAAGAAAATTCGCTCAACTCCTCTAATTTATTGTGGCACAAATCCAAGCGCAGCAAACTATTGGCTCCCACAAATACAGAAGTGCTGATTTTGGTCAGTTCATTACCAGCGAGGTTGAGAAAGGTTAAGTTACCAGCCGAACTAAATGTGTTGCGGGTTATTTCTAAAATCTGTGTTGCAGATGCATCCAGTGTTTGTAAATGCGGGAACTCCTCAAATAATTTGAAAGGTATATACAGCAGCGATGATTCGTAGAATTTCATGAATTTTATAGAACTAACAACCCAGCCTGAATAATTGCGAATTTTCACATTTTGATTATGATTTACTTTAAAGTTACTAATTGTACAAAACGGTTTTTCAACATCATAGTAATCCTCACTGTCGATTTCATCACACTCAAGTGACAAATCTTGTTGGCAATTCACACTGCATAGGCAAAATGTCAAAAATAAAAGCACAATTTTTCTTAAGTTCATTTTAGATATCCTCGAAAATTAACGCGTCTTAATATATCCGAATGCATTCGTTGAAGCGCCTTTAAACAACTAAACGAGATTTGATGCATTTTGCATTAATTTGTTCCGAGTAGTTTTTTATCAATTTTTCATAAATAATTTTCATACATTTCCGTTTCTTAAAGAAAGTGATAAGAAACTGAAGAAAATAATGAAATATTATGAGAAAAATCCATTTTTTTAGTTTTAATATGTCAATCTGACTGGCGGCATCGGTTATTATTTCAGAGTAGAAGAGTAAAAGAATTTTAAGTGTTAGGGATTGGATAACAATTATGTTATGTGTAATGGTACGAGAGCAGAACAAATTTTTTTCTCAGACACATACTAAACACGTGGTTCAATTTCGTAGTAACTTTTAGTCTATAATGGATCTGTTTATTAACCCCTGCTCATCAATTTTCACTTCTTCTATGTACTTTATTATATACTCATTTGAAGTCCATACTGCACAAAAACTTTGCTAAATTTCATTATTTAGTTAAACAAAGAAATAATTAAAGAAGAAAGAAATAATTAAAGTACATTAGTAACAGAATATTCTATGCTATATGTAGTATATATGTTACATCGGAGACTGATCAAACTGAACTACTTACTTTTATAGTACTATTTCAGTGACGTATGTCAAATACAATTGTCATTCAAGGTACTATAAAGTTACATAAAATTTTGCCATTTTATTATATGTAACACTTAACAACCGCTGAACGTGCTGAGTGTTGCGAGTATTTTTTTTGCTAATATAAAAGAAAAAATTGCGACTTGTGTTGAACGTCAAATGTTCTAAGTAGAAATCTTTCTGAGAAATCAGTTCCTTGTCTGGAGGAAGCCGAATAGTGAGATAATAAATATTTGATCATTTCTTATACGCCTTCATCCCATTAATTTTTATTGAAACAACTATTCTTATACATGTTGAAAAAAGATACAAAAATTTTTATATTTCATATTATTATGTTATCAGAATTCTTAGTATCGCATCTGTCCAGTTCATCAGCCCTACAATTTCTTGCAATATAAATGTTACCTGAAACCCAAATTAGAAGAGAACTTAACTTTGCTTTACTTAATTAATTGAGAGTTGGGTGATTCAATAAAATAGAGATTAATATTGTAACTATCCATTGTCTATATTCCATGTTATATTATAACTTACCATCTTAGCTGCGTTTGGATTGCTTCAACTACAGTATGAAAAATATTGTATTTCAATAGTCTTGTAATCCAAATCGAATTGACATGTTATTGGAATATATATCAGCAGCTTTGAGCGGTGCCTGAGAACGTAAGTCCCCAAAAGTGATAAACCTCTAACATATTAATATATTTACTACTTTTAAAAGCAAAAAAATTATAATTAAACAAATTAGTCGTGGAGTAACATTAGCATGACTTTCTCAACATTACGTTCCTAGATTAATTTTAATACATAAGAAAGAATATATAAATCATGCAACAATTAATCCCTTTACAAATAGAATAGTATTGAGATTTAACAATTAAAAATAAAAATATATAATTAATTAATTCAATTATTCTATAGTTGGTTTATGATTTCGTTGTAATATAAACACAGCAAGGGAATTTGTTAATAAAACTTTCATAGCAAATTAACAAAACTACAAAAAAATGTGAGAATATAAAAATCAAGTACGGTTTTGGGTTAGTTGGGTGATGAACGCTGACTCTAAGCTTCAAATTTGGCAGGGCACGAATTCGATTCCTGGTACTTGCAGTCTCAAAAAATTATTCACAAATAATTAAATATAAGACTTATTTCCAAGACCACTGATGATAGGTATTTGATAATACTCAAAATAGCTGTATGGTCAGCCAAAACTTCAATTAATTAAAATAATATAAAATGAAAATTTGTTGTTGTAATTCACTACTGTTCGAAAAATCTCTCTACAAATTATTAAGTCAATAAAATATTTATGCAGAGAACTCTGAAAATTTAATCTTTTCAACAAAAATAATAAAAAATTATAATAGTATAAGTTTCTTTATTCCATTAAATTCATTTATATATATAAACCATTGCAATGATAAGAATGCTGTACAGTTTTCTTATCAAACTCGCGAAATTCGAACTTTGTAGTAGAGTGTTTTCATATTTCTTGAAAAGTACTTCTTTCATTTACATAATGCTAGAGTTCTGATAAGAATGGATTATTCTTATTATTTATAATTTTTCATTCATTCACAATTTCTTTGTTCAAAAAGAATAAAAACAGTTGAGAATCGCAAATATATTTAATGCAGCGGACCTAGGGCAAGGGTAAAATTATATAAAATTCTCGACTGGAATGGAAAGATATAACAACCTTGAAAATCTGTTTTAAGTGTGCAGTAAAGCATATAGTTTGAAATAAGTAAATAATTACATAAAGCGATGTAGTGGAAGAAGTGGGAAAGCAATTATAATATATATAAAAAAAATAAATTAAAAAAAAAATATTATTTTAAAAGATTTGGAAGATAAGAACGGAAGAATTCGATTGTATAAAGTTCGAAACCAAGTGCAATACTTCTTGCTGTAATGACATATTTTTGAAAAATGCTTGATATATTTTTATATTACTGAATAATATGATGAACTACATAGAAATTAATTTTAATTAGTAATAACTATTAAAGTAAATCGAAAACCTGACTATTTAAACTTAGATTAAAGAAAGGTTTTAATAAGAAATTCATTAAGTTGAAACACTATTATTATTAAAAGAAGATATTTCCATGTTAAAGAAATTGTTTTTATTTTTATTAGCCTTTCAATTTCATTTATAATATTCTTTTTTTAACCCGAAAATCAACATAGTCCTTATATCATCGTTCAGCCATCACAATCCAATACAAGATATTCGCTTGTTACAATTATTTTCTCAACAAAACAGGAGCAGTGTATGCAGCAGCGGTGTAAGGTGCAGCATATGATGCAGCTACGTAGGGTGATGCAACGTATGGTGAAGCAACGTATGGTGAAGCAACATATGGTGATGCAGCTACGTAAGGAGCAGCGAAGTTTCCGTGATATTCCCGCGAGTACACAGCTGATGCAAGTGGTGCGGCAGAAACGATAGGTGCCGAATATGCCAAAGGCGCTACTAATCCAGGCTTAGCGGCAACAAAAGCAATGCAGGCCATCAAAACAATTGCGAAATATTTGAACATTTTGAAGTGTTTAGTTTTAAACGACTTAGGCTTTGTGATAACAAGAACGAACTGAAGTGTTTACTGTCATCAATTGTGAACTACCGCCAGCATTTATAGTAAACCATTAAGTAACATAATGTGGTATTCAAGAACCTTGGCTTAGCGTACGCATTCCACAAATTCCTTGACTACCATCCAAACTAAGGCGGAATAATTATGCATAAGCGAATAATTAGCACGTGTCAAGTACAACCAGAAATTTAACCACAAACGGCCCAAAGTCGAAAGGCAATAATTAAGCATTGGAAGCGTCAGTCAGTGAATTATGCAATGTTAGTGAACAATAAAAAAAACATTATTTTTGACAATATTTCTACTTAGTTTAGTTTTTTCTTTTGGATTAATTGTTGTTGTTGTTGCCAAGTTACCAGTACGCGCCACGTGACACGCATCCTAATGAAGCGGCTTAGAGAGACGATACGTGTGAATTGCTATTGTCTTTGGTTTATTCGTTTAATAAATGGAATTTGCAGGAAAAGCCAATATACTGTTCCAGCTGAATAAGCAAAAAGCTTTTGGAATAATCTCTATGGAATTCTGACTAATTCTTGAAATTATTAGAAATTATCACTTGGAAAGTGTGACAGAAAAACTAGTTCTTTAACTAATCTTTAACGAATGTCTCATCATTTTTTAATGCGAATTATTGCATTAATTATAAATTGGATGAGTACTTATTGAGATACCATATCACTGTTGACCTGCAAACTTTTTCATAACTAGCGAGAAGACACACTTTCTTTTGGCAGAGATTAAGCATAACCTTCAAATAATCTTACAGCTAAGCCAAGCGATACATCCTTCGTTTATCTAAACAGCTAAAGTAAATAAAAGAAACTAAATGCATAGTTCATATCAAACGATTAAGAAATTTTCGAACTAGAATCAAATAGATTAGAATATTGTAGAGTTCTGTGTTCTTAAAAGAGCACTACTGCACTACTAAATCTGCAGAAGTTAAAGAATATAATAGTTGATTTTCAATCAAAATATATCATTATTATTATTATTATTATTGACTTATTATTGGTCATGACTTCGGTTAACAATATATTAGGAAACCTAAGCTAAACAGTCCAAATTGAAAATGGATTCCTGCTTCACAAATGTACAGCATGATCTACTTACTTAGTTGACTATTACAGACTTGAGTCACTTTCGGTATTTACGCTGGGTCCCAAATAAACAGAGTCTTTCACAACTTTGAATATATAATTGTCAACAGGACGTAGGTCTTAAAATGCTCAGGAAATTTATTTGTTGACAAAAAGTACGCTGTTGTCTTCATTTACCGCAGGATCCATTTTCTTCGCTTGTTTTTCTAAGTTTGAAAAATCGGCACTAAAGACGCGAATGTTCAGGCCAACGATATTATCTAATTCATAATTTTTAAGCACTACTTTGGTGACATACATCAAAAAGATCTGCTACCACTCATTTACTTCAAGATTTGAATTATTTAATATACGAAAACAAAACTTTTTGAGTATTTTCCAAAAGTGTTTGGTTTATTTAAAGGTAAGCTTAAATCTGGAACCCATTTTTCTCAAGCACATCCTGTTTTCTAACAATAAAGAGTTAAATTTCAAAAATTGAGGTTTTGAAGGATACATACATAAATTTTATTTTTGCCGCACAGTATAAAGGTATTAAATTTGTAAAAATTTACTACAAAAATTTCGCAACAGATATATATTATATAGTATGAGGGGATTATAATAATTATAATCGCCCATTGAGTACAATACTTAATACAAAGATGATAATTCGAGAGTAGGTACTTTTTGCGCATTATGACGAGTTTATTATATTATAGTTGTAATAGCACATATAAGTACTAAGTAATAGTACTACGGTATAAGGAGAACTGTGTAAAAATTTGACTAAAATAAATCCAGACAATTAGACGTTATCGAAAAATATGCATAACTAAAAATAGAATAAGATATGTTTCTATTATATACCTTAAACGAAATGGACAACATTATGATTTTCCTATATAATATTTGGGAGTAATTTACATCCACCTAAAATTCAGTTAATATTAAAACCATATCTATAGCCAGCAGACCAGGCAATGCGTAGAAAATGCTCTGATTAGGTGATTGAACAATAGCGTGTAGATCACAATATTTCGTTGAATCTTCGTGATATTTCGATACCTGCTTGGATATTTTCACTGTCCCTGCTGCCAGTTGGCACAGTTTCGTTTGTTGATATATAATGAAAAATCTTTTAGTTATGGAGACATGTTAGTATGATCTTAATGGCAATCATATATTTTTCTAAAAGATGACGAACAAAAAGTAATACATTTTGTAAACAGTGTATATCAAGACTTAACTATAGTCGATATTAAAAATTGTTACTGTATTAATATGATTTCGATGTGTTATGATATCAAGATAGTTCATTGAAAAAGATGTGGTTGAACAACTACAATGGTTAATATATATCATTTAATATATATAATTTATCATCCATCTTAAAAATACTGAAAGAGTTTCATTGTCTATAGGTAATTGTACTATTCTACAAGAAGCATCTTAGATTTCGGACAGAGTTGAAAGATACGCGATACTGGACAGCAACCTAAACCGGTGAATATATAATTTTTTTTTTTATTAAAATAACCATAATTATTTAACAATAGCTACTAGAAAAATTATGAACTCTTAATATGGAAAAGTTTAAATATATATACTAAAGTAAACAAATGACACTGAGTAAGTGATTAATTAGTTTTTAACATAACAAAAGTCTTAAATATTCATTCATGATACATCAAATATTTTTTTTAAAACTATATATTACATTCCATAATATATTACTTCTAAATTCAAGCCTAAAAATGTACTAAAACTATTTACGTATTAAACTGAATAAAAAGTATCTGAGAAATATGCTTCATTTTATAGTAGCATTTCTTAAAATTCAAGTGTATGCATAAAATATTACTACCTCTATGGTATTAGGTAGAATTTTAAAAAATACTTTCATTTCATATATTCTATATAATTTTTTTTTAAATACAAAATTAATTACAAAATCGTTGTAAAATATATCAAATAAATTTGTTGTTTGTTATAAAATACACAAATAACTGCTCATTACTGGTATTACTTAAAACTCAAGACTATAAAATTATTTCACCTTATTTCATAATTTCCAAATACCACGAAATATATCTTACCTACCTGGAGAATACCTTAATTTGGTTACTTCTGTTAATAATTCCTTAACCCATTAAGTACCAAACAATTTCACCTGGAATTTAACGGTGAAATTTCCTTAGTATATTTGAATAAACAGTTTAAATAAATAAATAATGAGAAGAGTTTTCATATTTATTTAAAAGAACTTTCACTTTATCTTTACCTAAATAGATAAAATATTCTTTGAATATTAAAAAATATTCAAAGCTAGCCGTGTGGTGCAACACACGGTAGTCCGAAATGGGTTAATAAATAAGTTTGAGTTTCCTTGAGTGAACATTTATTTATTCAATTTATTTATTTTATATTATTTATTTAAATATTAGTTTAAATATTGTATTCTTATTTTTATAAATGTTTTTTAATATATTTTATTTTTTGAATATGTTTATATTTATTTTAAATTGATTTTATTTAATATTAATATATATTAAAAAAATTTTAATTACAATATTTTTTTATTTAAGATATATAATAGCTCAGAATGAATAATCAAGTCGTTTCAAAAGAAAATTTATTTCAATTTTATACTAACATAGATACTATTATACAGCAGTTAAAGCTCGTTTAACTATCTTCCATAAATTTGTGTATATATTCTAGTGAAACCAAAATTGCCATTCGTTTGGAAATTTACAGTGAAACCTAAACCAAAAGTTAAATTTGCTAAAGGTCGAAAAAAGTAACCACTTTGAGCTTGTGGCTTCTTACGATTCGATATTGTCTGAGCGACAGTCGTATATAACGTACTAGCAGAGTCCTGCAATCCAGTAACTATATTATGCATTGATGTATAAAACCCATTGAAGCTAGGCGTTATTATATGCGGCATAGAGACATTCGGCCAGCTTGGTAAGCTCACATTTCTCCAAAGATTTTGTGGCCATGAAATATCAGGCAACCAAATCCATTCTGTCATATTAAAAATTTTTTGATTTGCATTAATATTCTCGAATTGTTGTGCAAATGCTGAGTCCTCTTTAACTTCATTTGTTTCAATTTCATATCCATCGGTTGCTATTCTAGCCGTTAAATATGGCGTATTATCAAGAGCACGCGATTTTATGCAGTCGATATTTAGTAAAAGTATAAGTAACTATAAAATACGATATATTTATATAAAATATGTATATATTTATATAAAATACGATATATATACAAAATTTAATACACACCAAATACAGATATATTTGTAATTTTTGCATTTAGATTCTGATCCTTTAACCCAGTTTAGATTAAATGCAATAAGACACTGTTTTGAAATTTAATGCACCTATAACTTTTATTTATAAGCAAAGGTCTAGAACTACTTTTAATTTTTTTACTAATCCTTTCAACTAAAGAAAAATGTCTTGCCCCTAAACAGAAGCAAAATAAGTTTGTGATATATAATGACAAGTCATTTAGACAGTTTTAATTAAGATTAAAATATAGTAGAATCTTTTCATATTTCTTTGGTAGCGCTTATATGAATTACATTAAAGAAAAATTTGAATTACACTAAAGAAAAATATTAGTAAAATAAATTTAAATTCATACAGAGATTACTCATGCTACTATTAACTGATACCGATGAATGGTAAATTATCAGCTTATTGTGTGATATTATCACATTTTTGATATTTTTAATAGAAGAGGAAGAGGGAATTTCATTTTCAATACTAGAATATTTCAATACAGGGTGTGAAGGCCATTTCATTTAAAGAAAGTCTTCAGATATGGTTCTTATTATTTGCTTTATCTTTTATCAATGCAGTTAAGATTATTTTCCATTGGGTATTTTTCGATATTCTTACTACTTAGATGATAGCAAGGTACCCCAACTATGATCCTCCGATCGTTAGATTGGAAATAAAGTTGTAGTTTAGAATATCTAGCCATGTGGAGTTGTTATTATTTACAATTAGAGTTTATATCTTCATCGTACAAATATTTTTCAATTTGATTTTAAGTCTTTTATTCTATCATAATACACGTGCAGTGTGGTAGATGCATATTCATTCGTTGAAGGATCATATCATATTCTTAATATCCTTAAAATATATCATATCCTTAAAAAATCCTGAAGTTTTAATAAATTGCTAATGTAAAGAGCTAAGTCATACTTTCGTTTACAGAGAGTCACAATTTTCCGTAATATGAAACACCTTAACTAACCTTACAATTTCAACAAAATAGAGATAAGACTTCTAGTCAAAGTTTTTGTATTTGACGGTGCATTACATGGATCCGTCTCTAATAAGGAACTTGCAAACAAAAGTAGGTAGAAGTACTGGGAGGTCCTCTATCAACAATCACTATGGTTCATCCAATTTGATATAACTTTATTTTTCAGTTATTTTTTTATTTCTTTATTTAACTGATTTGTTGAGCAAACATATCAACTAAAGTGCTTTTTTGCGTTACTTCTAAATAACATCTAAATCTTTTTGTTTTTGTAAGTTTTCAAATTCTCAAAAATTTATTTTAGGATATCAAACATGATTTTAAAATTCGATGAACCTTACTTCGGTTCTGATTTATTTTAATACTCATATTAAGATATAAGTTTTGATTAAATATTCTAAAAATAAGTTAAAAGTAATATTTTCTTTGGGTATAATATTAATTATTTTGACCAATCATTCAGTTTGTTGAACATCTTTTAAATTTTATTTTCATTTAAAAAGATGTAAAAGCTTGAGATACGCCTACTTTGGATATCAAGAGATTTACTTGTAATTAGTTGGGATATGAATTTAAATATGAAGTTCACTCCCTCTAAAAAGTTAAGCAAATTAAAAATTTTAAAAATAATAGAAAATATAATTTCTTTTTATTTTTATTTTTGATTTATAAGTTAAGGTAACAGTTAAGGTGCCGAGTTAAGGTGCCAGTAATGTTTTTGGCAAACTGTGACCGATTAATGTTAACCTAATATTAATATACGTCGATAGGCAATTAGGCAGTAGGTAATATTAGCTAACTATTCCAATGCTTTAGACCAATGCTTTTACAACCTCATCTCTCAATCTTTCTCTATTCTTCGCCACTCTTCTTTAATCCTGTATTGCTAAAGTTTTTAAATCACTTCATTGAGCATCAAACTATACTTTTCTAGGTCTCGACCTTCTTTTACTATTTCACACTCTGATAAAAACTTATTTCGCTGCTTTTTTGATAGTATTATTACTTAGTGGGTTAACATTTTTTGATATATCTTATTAAGTTTGAACTCAATATTAATCTTTATATCACCGAATTGAAGCGAGCCACTTGCCTGTTTCATATATTTTGCGTTAATACATGATCAGGCATATGCCTGCGTATACGGCTTTAATATCTTATATTTATATCTGAAAAGCTTGGCGATGTGGCCGGTATTCAGTATATTAAAACTTTCTTTTAACGCATTTGTTGATCTCATAAGAAAATAAAAATATAACATGTATTGTTACACAATTTTATAGATTATATACTATATTTTTTGTTTCACAATTTTTCTTCTATCACTGACTGTTTTCCTAAATCAAAATGTAAAAATAATGTATTTATATTATATCTACAGTAAAAAAAATTTGTACTATTTTTGTCTAAAAGCGTCTTTCAGATAAACTTTGACAATCTGTGTATCTGTAGATACAGAATATGGAACTGCCTCCTATACGATTTTGTCCTGCTTTGGCCAAAGAATCATTTTCCAATTTTTTGGGATACTCCCAAAAAAACACCTTGTATATTCAATAATGACTATTGCAATAATGTTTATTTATATATATATGACTATTTTG